TTATGAATGCAATGGCCAATCAGAGGCGTTCAGATGAGTCATCACTGAAACAGCGGAGTTCTGTTGTTCAGCGCGCGCTGACTGAATTCTGACTCGCAAATTCTCTCATCATAAACAACAAAGTGCAGATCTACGTGGGATGTAAGTAGAAGAGATTTATTCATCGTACAGTGTAGATTCACTGATTTTAACCGGAGTGTTTTAAAGTGCATATACTCGCGCTAGACTGAGCTTGTGATGATGTTCTTTGGTAATGTAATGTTCTTTGCTCATTTTCTGTAGCTGCTTTTTGAACTGTAAGCATTATAATTTGTAACTTACAATGTTTCTATAAAATTATCATGTAGGGCGGAGATACCCCCTGACAATGTAAAGTGCTTTGAGTGCCTAGAAAACTGCTATATAAATATAACAAATTATTATTATTATTATTATAATTAGTAACTTACGATGTTTCTATTAATTTATGTTAAATACAAATTCAGTCATATTAAAAACATTAGGCTGCTTTTAGCCTTACGCTGGAGTTGGTTCACTTTCCCGCAATGAAGCTAAGTAAATAATTACATAAATTAGCATGATAATATCGTGTATCGGCGATTTCACAGGCTGACGATATGAAAATTGAGCGTATCGCCCAACACTATGTTCCATTCAAAATAGTATGTGAGATTCAGTGCATATCAAGTAATAGTGTCTTGAAAATAGTTTTCCAAAGGTGTCCAGATGATGTACTGTTTCTGAAGTTTGTGCTTCTGCATGATTTCTAGATGTTGGCCAGTTTTATTGTTTATACTAATTTTGGGGTCAAAAATATTAAGCAGCACAACTGTTTTCAACATTGATAATGAGAAATATTTATTAAGCATCAAATCAGCATAATATAATGATTTCTGAAGATCGTGGGTCTGACACTGAAGACTGATGTAATGACTGCTGAAAATTCAGCTTTGCATCACAGGAATAAATTACATTCTAAAATATAGCAAAAATTAAATTTTAATAATATGCCAAAATATTACTGTTTTTTTTCTGATCAAATAAATGTAACCCTGGTGAGCATAATAAACGTCTGTCAAAAACATATGAAAAATCGTGCAGATTTTTATTTTTATCAGGCATGAAACATTCTTTTCAGTTGCTAAAAATATTAAAAGGTCATGGAAAAGTATTATTCACATTTTCTAGTTATGCTCAGTTTTAAAGTGTTTCTTTCACTAATACTTTTTGTGAGTAAGATCTCTTAAGTTAGTTAAAAGTAAAAAGTAAAAAAATCCTTATCCAATATCGTCTCAATATTGTTTTTCATACTGGCCCAAAGCCAAACCTTAGTGCTTCGTAAGAAAGAGTATATGATATCATTGGCTCAGTTCTGATTTTCATATATCAGATTACGTTGCAGCTTGACTTCTCATATTTCTTGGTTTATACAAACATTGCCTCGCTCCATTTCCAAATGTACTTATATATATATATTTATATATAAGGGTTTATGTTATGGCAGTTTTCACTCTTTCAGGGGACCAGCATCAGATGTGATTGTGTCAGTAGTATTTTTGTGTTTATGGTGAACTTTGTGGTATTGGTAGAACATCTTGTAAAATATGAAAGATTTGATTGTTTTTTTGCCGTGGTTTTCTTAGAACTTTAAAGAATCTTTGAAATTCCGAATGTTTTCTTGCAAGAAAAAAATGGGATGTTTGTTATTCATTTTTCACTACTTATTGCAGATCAGTCTGTGGGCCTGGCCTTAAATAGCATAGAATGTAAAAAAAAAATGTCTGGTAATAGCCAGGGCTACCAACTTTTTTGACCATCAAAAAATATTCCTGCTGTTTACACAGATCACAGGTGTATTTTGTGAATTGTATTTGAAAAGCTTGGTTGAACATCTCACTGTGCAGAATCTTACATTAATATTATCCAGGTTTTTTTCTATAGTATGTACATTAAAACCATTGCAGATGTTCATCAAGGGCTGAGCATTAACCGGTTTCTCGTTGTCGTGCTGTGGTGAGGTGTCCTGTTCCGCGTGTGCCTTTACATACAGAGCAAGGATGACAAATCTTGTCTATTTTCAATCCAGAGAATCAAGTTTTTATGAGAAATCAATCTATTTTAAACATCTCATTCCTGTTGTGAAGCTATCTACGAATTGTTTTTGTTTTATTGTGAATAAATACCTTTGTGATTATTTATAATACAGCGTGGAAGTGTTAAATTAACTTGCTATCTGTACACAATTTCTGGGTGTATTTTTTTTTTTTTCTAATTGTGTGAGAAACTGAGGACCGCTACACTCAAATGAACTTGTGTATCACAGACTTAAAATGAAGGGCTTTTCATGCCTCACTCTCATTTGTTGTGCAAATGTCTTAAATTATCAGCTGCCCTCATGCATATTGACAAATCAACATCATTTTGTATCATTCATTCACAACACCAAAGATGTGCCATGAATTTCAAAGAATATTCTAAAATGGGAGTGATAAAACAAGTAATATGTGGAACAGCTGTACATATTCCTTTTAATGACTAATACGAGTACCCCAATTCAATTTGGCAATTTGTAAGTGATGATTTAGACATAAGAGTGAGTTTGTACAATGTTTTTTTTTATTATTATTATTGACAAATTTATATTTCTGGAATATATCTTTTTAATGTCCATTTCTGTGGAAAATAAATGGCTTTATTATTTTACAAGTTTACAATGTTGAAATAAATTGTACATAAAAACGAACTCATGATGACTTCTTCCTTGCTGCCTTCACCCATTGAGCAATGATTTCAGACTCCTCCTTCCGAGCCACAATCACAGACTCAGGATCAGCAGGGTTAGACTCCCTGAAAAACAAAAAACACCATTTATAAAAACAGGAAGCATGATGATCAGCAGGGACAAAGCCAAATACAACATTTCACTCTATATCTCTCACAGTTGCACCCACAAATAATGAAAATTCCCACCTTAAATCCAGATGATGAGCTCCCTCTGGTATGTTGATTGCAATCAGTGATGGACTGAGTGACTTCCTGATCTACAGGTGAAAATAATTCAATTTCACAGAGAAGCACAACAAAGCACTTTATTCATTAACCTCAACAGCAACCAATAACAAGGGAATTACTGAAATGAAGTATTCAGGTGATTATTTTTAGTGAGGAAAAATACCAAGTGCAGCTTAAAAAAAAAGTATCTTACCCCTCCATTAGCCCAAGGATCAAGATCACCATTGGAAAATATGATATTGCTTGCTGTGGCAAGATCTAGAAAAGAAAGTTCAAATGGTTGCAACATTGAGCTCTCATTTCATTACAAACATCCAATGAATATTAAAAGGACCAAAGGCAAGTGGAACCTGATGTATAATCATGAGGTAAAACTTTTTTGATTTTTTTAAAGAAAGGCACAGACCCAGGCACTGTTTGGTAGTTACAGCTTACCGTCGCCCCAGAACTGGGTCTTCAGCCACCCTGGACGCGGCACCACCCCCCATCTCTTTGAGCAGTACTGTTCCGTCTGCTGCTCGGTCAATGTCACATTGTTACTCTCGTAGCACATCTCGATCTCAGTGCAGGCCTAAAAAAGTCATTCAATTTTTATTCACAATGACGTGAAAGGAAAGTCCAAGCTATTTTACCTTTTTATTCCACAGTGTAAAATACAACGGTAATACCCCCTCATAATTTTTTTTAAGCTTTTACATGTTAGTGACTGCTAATAAGTGGCTAAATGGGACAGAGGTTTCTGGGAACATCTACTAACTCACTGTTGATACATTTTTAAATAAAGACTGAAAGATTTGTTAGAGCTTAATGGTGGTGACACTGAAGTCATGTAACAGTATTGTTGTTCATTTATAGTCTGCGTTTAAACTTTTACATCTGGTGATTTAGGCTTTAAAATTAATAAATGTTGTGTTCGTTTGTGAAGATTATCACGATGAACAGAACATGTAAAAATTGCAAACTTCCGTTGGTCACAGAGCTTCTTTTCTGCAATAATCCAAAAGTCCATGGGAAAATCCTATTGGACTTTTGTCAAGGGAACTAGGGTGATGTGAACTACTTGGTTGGCCTACAAAATTGTCATCCCTGTAGTACTCTGCAGTCTCAAAATAAATCTGTTTTACTGAAGACTTGTGTTAAAATCTAATATTCAGGGTTTAGTGAGAACTAATCTAGGTACCTGGTAATCCCATGCATAGCTGTCAAAACCAAGGCCACAGCCGGTGGGATCGGCACACTCCACATAGAGACTGTAGAGGTCATAACATGTGAGCTGTCCAGTGGAATTATACACAGTGCCTGTGGGCCGGCACAAAATGAATACTAAAGACTTTCCATGGCAGGACCAGATGGTTATAAAACGAAACAAAGCTGCTGTCATTTACCAATAGTATCTCTGAGTGCCGACATAAGATCAGTGCCATTCAGCATGGTTTCACACGCCACCTGTAAAAGTAAAAAGTACTGCAATTTATCTTTAAGACACACAATCACACTGGTTCAGTTCCAACTGCAGGAACTGCTCTGCTAAGGAATTTTTAATGGAACCAGATGGGCTGGAATGGTTTTATTTGCTATATGCATCAGGAAAATATTTGATTAACGCCATTAGGTTTTCCATTATGCATTGAAGCATTCCAGTGGCAAGCTTTTCTTTTTCATGCTATCCCCTTTCCATTTGGTGATGGAGTTGGCTGGAAATTCATGCAAGTGACAAGTCCAATACCTTCACAGGGAAGGCTGGCATGCTGCCCATGAAATGAGTGCTGTAGGGATAATCCAACATGGCCATCATGGTGAAGGCGTTACGTAAGAGTCCGTTCAGCTGATGAATGTCCTTTGGGGTGGAGGGAGTTTTACACAGGGAGAAGACAGATTGGATGCGTCTGTATTCTGAAGTATAAATGGGAAACCATGCAGAATGAAATGCATTTTAAGAACAAAAGCAAGCACAGACTGAACACGGTTAAACATTCTGAGTGAATGGCTATGGATACCTTTCTGTTGTGCCAAAGTGTTTAGCTTCTGGAAAGCTCCTTGCACTGCATCTTCTCAAGATCCTGAATAAGCAAACAGAACACATCAATATTACTCTAATACAAAATACTTTTATTTACAAAAAGTATTACATTTTAAAATCATGTTTTCAAGCAAAAGTGACTGAAAGGAATTAAATATGAACCTACAGTGGTAACGTCCCGGAAAAACTGTCTAGAGTCTCCAAGACCTGCAGTGGACAGGATGGGAGCATTAGCGGCTAACGCCCCAGCCACAATATTCGGGTACCTGATTCTCATGTAAACGCTTAACATTCCTCCGTAGCTGAAAAATAAAACACATAATAACATACATTACTGGTTAAAAGTTTGGAATAATTACCTTTTTTTGGTTTAATGTTGTTCTTTTTCTCATCAAGGCTGCATTTATTTGATCAAATATACAGTACAAATAGTAATTTTGTGAAACATGATTACAATTTAAAATAACTGTTTTCTTTTTGAATATTGTGATTGCAAAGCTGAATTTTCAGCATTCATTACTCCAGTCTTCAGTGTCACATGATCCTTCAGAAATCATTCAATATGCTGATTTGCAGCTCAAGAAACATTTCATATTATTATCAATGTTGAAAAAAGTTTTTGCTGCTTAATATTGTTGTGGAAACCGTGATTCTGTGGAAAACTTTTCGAAATTTTGGGGTAAGAAAGAAAAAAAAAACGCTGCATTACATTGATCAAAAGGGATAAATATGTTTATAATGTTACAAAAGATGTCTATTTCATATAAATGCTGTTTGTTTTGTTTTTACTTTCTATTAATCAAAGAATGTATCATGGTTTCCACAAAACTTTTAAACAGCAAAAACATTTTTTCAACATTGAAAATAAAAAACATTAATAATATCAGAATGATTTCTGAAGGATCACATGACACTGAAGACTGGAGTAATGGCTGCTGAAAATTCAGTTTTGCTATCACAGGAATCAATAAAATATATTTTAAAATATATTAAAACAAATATGTTAAATTGGTGATCATAAGAGACTTTCAAAAACATTATTTTAAAAATAAAAACTTTTGACCAGTAGTGTGTACAATATTATTGTTATGATTATTATATAAAATAATTATTAGTTATTATAATGTTTAATTAATTTAATAATAATGACATTTTATGTAGCCAGGTGTCATATAGATATTTATGTATATATGTGTCTGTCAAGAGGATGATGGGTACATGGCTAAATATTAGTTCTCAACAAAATAAAAAGCTCACTGAGACCCCACCTTCCACCAAAGACGATGACGATGACGGGACATTTCTGAGCTCCCAGTTCCTTCTTCAGCTCTGTGATCATGACCGCATAGTCAGCCAGGGCCTGTTCCACCATCAACAGCCCCACCTCAGGGATGTTAAATATTCTAATTTATTGAGATGCACCTGTATATAGGAAAACTACAGATCAGAACTTGCCACAGATAAACAGGTCTCAGTTTTTCCACCGAAGATCAGCAAAATGAATCCAAGGAAAAGCCAATGTGCAGCCATTCTCACAGAGACCCCATACATCAAGCCTGAAACCTACCAAAGTTTCATGAAATCATCACAGGGCTATTGACTGTCATGTGATCATGTCAGCTGTCATGTGACTTGTGTCATTGTTGCGTGTCGTTAGACAAATGCCCTGTTTGGTCAAGATTATGGTATGTGATTTACACAGTTATTATGTTAAAGGTTGTCTAAACAATGAACATAGCAGCTTCGCAGTTTAACAATAATTTACCCAATAGTTTCAGAATAAAAGTCATGAACCATTTCAAAGTAAAAGTTTTCATGACTTAAAATAAGTGATGGGCAATAATAATAATAATAATAATTATTATTATTATTATTATGAAATGTTTCAAAAACGTACCTACAAAAAGGTCAGATAGCTACATCACAAAAGTCAATAAATCCTCTTTCTCCGAATGAGCATAACCAGGTCCTTCCTAAATAAATAAATAAATTCCAAGTATCACACGATTTTAAGGGGGAAAAAATCTAAATCTTTGTTTTCCAAAGATTTCCAAAGCTCCGCACTAATTCACAATGTGAAAAACATGATCTAAATGTGATATTTAATTGTTATGAGCGCGAGAAGTTTATCATGTCAGCGGTCATGTGACTTGTCAGATTGTTTATTATTTCTCACGAGAAGTGAGAACTGCAAATGTGACCCATAATATTTTATCTATACTATTATAGGTTTGTTTGTGTTCTGACTCTGTTGTAACTGTTACTCAGTCCGTTAGTCAAAACCCTGATGGTTGGAGCGGGCGCGGCCATTTGTAAATGTCTGGCTTCCATCCGCCTCCAGCTATTTTTAGCTGTACAAAACAGCTCGTTTTCCTGCTTGATTTCGCAGACTGGTGTTTCTTACCATATTATTTTAATCTATTGTATTAATTATAAACACACTGGGTTGTAGCACTAACAATTTTACCATTTATTGCGCTTTGTTATTCTTTTCGTTATTTCCGTACCGCGGCTAATGAAGCTTAAGTCTCGCACATTCACAGAAAACAGCTTACTTCCGCATTAAAAAATAAATGACTTTTTTTTATCAATTCACTGGGATTAGGATTAGGATTTGTTTACTACTTTGTTCAGTGACTATTTCTGCAGTTTACATTGTTACATACCAGAAGGGGGCGACACGTGTCTTTTGTGTGTTTTGAGTGAGTCGTTGGATCATTCACATTGTCAGCATTAAAATGAAAATGATTTGTTCATTTTAAAGATTCATTCACAAACCCCGATTCGCTCACGAGCGAAAAACCACTACGGTTTGCTCCATTTGACCCGGAAAGCGGGGCCTTGTTTAGCAACTTATTTTTCTAACACTCAGCTTAATCATAAGGTGTCAATGGCCAATAAACCAGAATAAGAAGGAAAACACATATGCTTCAAAATTTGTAGTGTTTCTGTGTTCAATTCATGTAGTAATAGAACAAAATGTAATGCACGTGTAAAAAGCAATGTATTTATTTATTTTTTTAGATGTACAAGTAATATAAACATTTTAATTGTCTTCTGGGTTTTAGACTACAAACCTGTTTGCATCTTTTTATTTATAATTACCATTATATACCATATCATATTATTTATATACCATAAGAAAACTGGAGGGGCCCTTGATGGATTTTTTAAAAACATCTGTAGCGCCATCTGCTGTCCAGGTTGAATTAGAGTAGATTTGCACTCTCCTGGATATTTTACTTGTATCTCAGATATCTCAGTTTATTATGATGTCAACATATATCTTAATAAATGTGCTACAGATATGTCAAAACAGCACAATATATCCCCATTTCCTTTTTTTTTTTTTTTAAGGTACTGTGAAATTGTAAATGTAACATTAACCTTAAGTCCTCTCTTATTTGGGGGAAATCTAAAGCTGTAAACTTGTAAAAAAATGGTAATATTGCAATACTGGGATTTCCTCCCTTCAGTCTTTTTCTTGACTGTTTCTCTATTAAAATAGATGTTAGGCAATAATTAAGTGCTTCCTAGTAGAGTGTAGCCCTTGGCAAGACAGCTTTTCTAGTTTCTGTCCTTATTGTGCTGTATATGCTAGTGTGTAAGTGTGCAAGTTTTCTTTCTTCTATTTCCTTGACTTACTCAATACCTTTTTGTTTAATTGAGCCTTTGCGTACGTGCCCTACCTGCTGCTCAGCAAGCCTCTCTCTCTCTCTCTCTCTCCTGGGAATGCAGGACTTCCTGATGGCCTGTGGCAAGTGGGAGGGAACCACAGCTGTGTGTCACACTACAAATATCACTTCCCTGTGAGTTCACTTAAGAACTCTGGCTTACACCTGTTCAGGAGGCGCACTCATTTTTTAATGGTCGATCACTTCTAGAAAGCAATCCAAGTTCCTGACTTATCTCTGTCAGTTTCTATGCAGTGGTAAGTGTCGGTCATTGTACTAGTATTAGGTTTTTGCTTTATGGTTTTATTGTCTTACAAGAACCTGCATAGCTAGTCTCACTTGTATTTGCAGGCAGCTGTCACATTCAGTCTTTTCATTCCAAGTTATTAGTGACCAAAATATGGTGTTTTCTCAGTACAGCTTGGTATATAGTGATTATAAAAATTACAGTTGATTATTTTTGTTGTGTTCTAGAGGGCCATGCTGTACATAGAGTTGATCAGGCTGTGGGATGAGGCTGTGCGGGCAATAGACAGCCGGGACTGGCAGGGTGCTCTCACTAAACTCAACCAGATCACAGATCACAACTGTCGCACTATGTTTGTGGTTGCTTCGACACACATTGCCCTTGGTCAAGTGGACTTGGCCATCAAGGTACAACCACAAGTTTAGCAATTACGCATGTAAGAGATGATAGAAATGTATCTGTAGCAATAAACCAATACAGTTATCATTGTCTTTGGTTGTTAAACAGTATTTTCAAGAGCTATAGTTTAGTTCAGGGGTTTTCAATCTTTTAGATTCCATAGACTCTCAAATATGATCATCCTTGTGCCATCCTAAACTTTAAAAGGCAGCTGTATATTTGAATGTATGAAGTCCCAGTTTACAATGTGAAAATGATTATTATAAATGTGTAAAATATTATTTTGAAAATGTTTAGTTTTTATTGTTACATTACATTTTTTCTATTTACTATAGTATTATAACTAATGTTATTATATCTGTTTGAATCTTTTTTTAATGAAATTAATTTATTTGTTTTATTTTTTAGAAGTTTCCAGATATAGAAATTACATTTCTTAAAAAAAAAAAAAAAGTTAGTAAAGGTAAATTAAAATAAGAAATATATAGATTTTTTAAACATGTATTTTAGATTATTTTAATGCTTTATTTGTCTTCTTTTTTCAAACAAATTAAAAGAAATATCATTTATTATTTTGTACATTTTTACACTGTTTTTCTCTGAACATTTCCACGGTTCTTCTAGTACTCCTTTGTGGCCCCTTGCTTAGTTAATAATTTAGTTATTTCAAGGTAGCAAAAAATATGAGCTGTAATGGTCATGTAATTATGGTTTTGTTTGATAAAACTGTGAAAATTTGGAAATGTCTTTGACAATGTCAAATGATGCCTTTTAGGCTCTCGACCAGGTAATCGCAAAGGATTCGTGTCTTGCTGTGGGATTTTTTCAGAGGTCTGCTGTTCATATGATGGCAAACAGGTGAGGATACTCTGTTTACATGCTGTAGCTCTCTATGAACGAGCAGACTAGTCTGTCTGGTACGCCACAGTGTGACGCAACACAAACATCTTAAACATTGACCTCTTTTGTTTAAAGTTGATGTTCTGGACAGTTGCTTCACTTTGATCTGACACTGGCTCTTTGTTCTCGTGCTCTCTCCCTGCCTCATTCTCTTTCCCTTTCTATCTGTGTCACTTTTTCCTAACACCAGGCTGGAGGAGGCATTGACTGATTGTATATGGGCTCAGAAATACATGAGGGAAAATCCTGTTATTGACTACAAACAGCTGGGTCTTCGCTATAAAATGTATAGCTGGCAGGTCAGAACATAAGCATATTTCTCTCTGTATGTGCAAAACAAGTTAAAACAAAACCATAATATAAAAGTATGATCGTTTGGGTTTATTGCACATTTTATTTGTTAACATTGTATTGTGACTTGGAAAATTGTTGACATTTTCCATCTAGCCTTGTGTCAACTCCTGTGAGGCCATCACAAGGCCTCTTTGAGGGCTGAGTGAAAAAGCTCCATGGTTATGCAATGCTAAATGCCAGACTGAAAGATGATAAGAAATATCCAGCATTCTTAGCTCAGGTTATCCTGAACAGATTAAACAACCTTTCTATTCCGCAAATGTATATTAGCTGAAAAATAGACAAGGTCGCTTTGTAGAAGTTTCACAGAGTCAATGTATGACCTCCGCATGCTAAATTTGCACCACTAGTCCATTGTTAGACATGAGGAATATGTACTATAGGTATGGTTCATGTGATTTTCTTGGAAGAATAATAGAGATACAGCCTCATTACTCACCGGGTGATGGAATGGAGGGTACTGTTCAAAGAAATTAGTAATTTTACATTTCCCCAAGAGGGCAGTAAAAACAAAAAATCATCAATCACTTTAAGTGTGTATACATAAAACACACTACTGTTCGAAAGTTTGTGGTCAGTTTTATGTTTTGAAAGAATTCAGAAATACAGTGAAATCAGTAATATTGTGAAAGGTTATTACAATTTAAAAATAACTGTTTTCTATTTCAATGTATTTTAAAATGTAATGTTAGCTGCCATTATTTCAGTCTTAAGTGTTACATGATCCTTCAATAATCATTCTAATATGCTGATTTGCTGCTAAAGAAACATTCAATATTATGACAGTTAAAAACACAATTATTGAGCTATTGATGTAATGTAATGTGTGTGTAACTTGATTTTTTTTTTTTTTTATCTTAGGTCCTTTATAATGCAGCTGCCGTCCACTCTAGACTGCAACAATGGGACAAAGCCAGAGAAATTTTGATGGCGGCCTCACAGGAGAGAGGAGCGGGCCGAAGCAACCTGATAGACACAGCTCTAGAGGCTATTTCTGTAAGACTTATCATCACTTATCATTTTATTAACAAATTGCAAGGAGGACACTGAAAAGTTTATTTTTTTTCATAATGCAAGACATCCATCGCTACATTTTGATTGCCCTTTTACAGATAATGTATCACTGAGTGCAGAAGATTGTAATGATTTCTGCAGTCTGTGTTTTGTGCTTTAATCATGTAATGTTTCTGTCCATTCTATTCCCAGAGGAGAGAGGTTTTGGAGCCTCTCCTGGTTCCTGAAGGTGAAGTGTTCCGTCCCAGGAAACAGGAGGTAGACCAGCTTAAACCGAGGGACTTCTTGGGTGAAGCTAAGGTGACTTGCATGTTCACACTGTACAGTTGCTTTAAAAGCTATTCCTGGGCCTCTGGTTGAGAGTAGTTGAAAATCTGTTGAAAATATAGAAATATGTGTATGTACGAACTTAAAAGCTGCCCAAAATGATATGCATCTGCAGTTTTTGATTTTATATTTTTTCCCCATTTTATATCAAAAATCATTTTAATCACATAAACACTCTACACACTATAATTTGAGAAATGTTTACTGAAACTAAACTCTTCTTCTCTCAGGTCATCTCTTCTTTGATTCCAAATGATGACTTCAGAGGCTTTGATCCTCTCAGACCACAGGTACAGTTGCTACCTGTGATACAGCAACCTCCAAATGTTGTCCTGCTTTTTTCACCATCGTTTGGTTTCTATCTAGACTGTACTGATTTTTTATGTTCCTGCAGAAACCAGGGTACTATGAGCCAAAGGTAGAAGATGGCCAGTAAGTATTTCATATTCAGTAAATATTAAGATCAGCTTAATACACTGACATAATAGACTGTACTAATTTTAAGCCAACTTTAAGCACAAAAAAAGGCCTTCTAATTAAGCTGAATATATTATTCCTGCATAGGGACTCTCGTTACATGATAACGAAGAGCGCATATGTGGCGAAAGGGGCAGGGGAGCTATCGGTGCCTGCAGGAGCAGAAGTGTTTTTGTACAGTGATGATGACAAGGACGGACTGGCAGTACTCATTTATGATGGAAAGGTGGGATACTCTTTCTTTGTAGAATGTGATGGACTATTACAGAGAATTTGTTTTGATTTGGAGGCACATTGAATGTTTTTTGACTTATGACAATAGTCTCGCTTTCTAATTAGGTTTCTGACAGTGGCATCATCAATGTGAAATGATTTTAAACGATTAACAGAATATAGAATAACAACTGGGGTATTTCTTCTTTTTTACTTTAAAAATGTCAGAGAGGTCTGGTTCCCAGTTTCCTGCTTGAACCGATGGGCAAGAAAAACAAGGGTAAAAACAAGCGAATTGTAAGTGTTCCTTTGTTTGTTTTTTTAACTTCCTTGTATGACCTTTTTCATTTGCCACAATGTGCTCTTTATGGTTTTTAATAGTGTCTTTTTATATGCCCAGTCTTACCCAGCTTTTCTCTTAGATTTGTTGAGCTTTATGAATGCAGACAGCTTTAAAAGCTTTTTAATTCTAGTTTTAAAATGTGCTTACACACTCTGCAAACCACAGAGATTTGGCAAAGACTGCGCTTTGCCTCGGCACACTTTGTCACTTTCGGTATCGGTGTAAGGAAAAGAAAAGCAATCCTGAAAATACAAATGGTTTAAAAGTTTATAGCCTCTTGTTACCACTTCTGCCAGAGATTTGAAGATTAATTCAGCAAGAAAGGGGATCTTAATTTCCTTGCTTGGCATACTGTAGGATCAGTGAATTAAAGTTGTAATAGGCAATAGCATACTGAGTGATTTTCTCTTCATATTCCTTTGAAGGAACTCGCCAATGGCATCCCATATCCACCAGCTCTACAACCCCCAAATCGACCCCAAGGTCCATCTCAACGGTCATTAGGTACAGAAAATAATTCACATTCAAAAGGAAACTGTTTGTTAATGGCTAAAGTTATTTATTATTAGTTTTCATTATTATAAATATTAAATATTATTATTTAAAAAAAAAATGAAAGAAAATATCACTGAACTTTCTCTTTTTTTAAATTTGATAGATGTCATTATTTAAAATGCAATGGAATGCAGTGGCATTGTTTAAATACAGCACATGCTCCAGCATGTTGCATGATGCACTTATGTGCAGTTATCATTTCCTGTCTCTCCTTTAGCTGTCCTAAAAATAAAAAGCAAAAATGACTGTACCAGTATTCTGAAGAATGTAAGTTTCATTCTCTCTCCTGTAGAGTTGCACCCCTCCTATGCCGGCACTGCCCACACAACTCCTCCTACAACCGGCAACTCCACCCACATCCCTACGCAGCAGGTGAGTAACGAAATACACTTGAAAAGGATGAAAAAATGCTGACCTTGTGACAGAACACAGCAGGGATCCCTTTAGAATGGAAACTCCAACATTTTATTTCACCCACAAAATCAGTTTTTGCTAGGAATTATGGTTGTAATTTTTCTACCATTAATTAAAAACTTTAAGTCAAGTCACGTTTATTTATATAGCGCTTTATATGATTGAGAGAGTTTCAAAGCAGCTGCAGTATTAAACAGGGAAGTACCAGAATCAGTGATGCCAGCTTTGTCAAATGTAAGACAAATCCAAATTCTGCTGTAAAAGACAATAGTGTCATTATTCAGCTCCAGTCAGTGTTGATTCGGTTCAGTTCAATAACTGTGCAAAGTTGATTATTTATAAAAAAATATTCAATTTTGTTAACAAATATAAACAATTTTGATTCAGCTAAAAAGCAGCTTTTAGAATAGTGTCAATATTTCAGCTCAATTCAGTTCAAGTTTTGTTCAATAATCAATAATAATCAATTATATTACTAAATATTAAGTCTTAAATATTCAAAATCTTATCTTATCCAATATGTCAAGCCTGAAAGCTAGATTTCTGACAGTATCATGTATTGTAGATGGAAATGGAAGCAGAGCATGATTAATGCAGTGGCCATCATGGTTGATCTTTTGTGTGAGATGAGATCTTTTGAATGAGTTTTGTGACTCAGACATGAAGTGGAGTGGAATGTTGAGGCAGCAGGCCTTTGATTTGGCCTGATTCAGTCAGACATACACCCAAGGGAGCAAAAGAAAGCTGATAAAATTTGAAAAGGGGACTATTTGAGGCCACTGTCTGGCAGAGAAACCCGATTGCCTTGTGACAATACTTATATCTGAATATGCAAATACCTTGTGCACATGATAGAACTCTATAATGGCGAAAAGGGGTATTTGAAATTGGGGAAAAACTTTTTTACAAGTTCTTGTATTGTAACTTCACATTCACTTGGCTTATACTTCCAGTGGACTGATCACATGTAACTTTTCTCAGCCGTAACCTCCACCCCCCATTTCTCAGGCCCAAACTTCACCTCAGGAGCCTGGATCAGCCATAGTCAAGGTGCACTATACATACACCATGGCTCTGAGAGTCCCTTTAGAAACTTCTTTCTGGGATCTGCAAGACAAAATCGCTCAGAAATTAGGACAGCCCGCAACAACCGTTCGCCTCAGGTAATATCGCTGACCTGCAGTCTGGTTGACCTGTTTTTAGTTGCCATAAATTCCTAGCATTAAAGTATGTTAGAACTCTGGTCACATTTTCCCTTTGTTCAAACCCCCACACCATCCCTAACACATGCTACTACTTCCTCTCACAGACACAGAAGGAACGGCACCAGAGCACTAACTCCATTAAATGGTGATGATAGACTGGATAGCCTGGAGGGTGCGGCTGAATCAGGACGTGCCCAAATTTGGTGTCAGGTAAACTAATTGCCATTTTTGACTGAAAGCTCTCAAAAATCTAGTTTGGTTAGATTGTCTTGCCAAAAATTCATGCCAATGGTTGAGCTAGTGTTGCTGGTCTGTATGCCCAAACAGTGCAGTGCTTTGAAAGTACCACAAAGTCACAGTGTTTACACCATTTGTGGAAATCAACCTATAAATGGTTTACCTTTTTATGAAACTGTGAGGGACAAAAAAAACACCATGAATTTTGAACTTTGTTCTATTATGAATGAATGTTACGCCAATTTAGCAATTAATACTATCTGCCAACTTCCAACTTCCTGTTTTTATCTATCTTGTCCCAAGAATGAGGACCCTCTGGTAAACAGGACTATTCTCTATCAGATGGTGGCACTGTATGACTACAATGCACAAGGCCCAGAGGATTTGGAATTCAGTGAAGGTGACACAATTGACATTCTCAGTGAAGGTACATAAACACAGGGGTATCTTTTTGTTATTATTTTGTTAATAATTTTACACAGTAAAGATGGGGTAAGAAAAGTTTTTTTTTTCCATTTTGCAGTGAATGATGAATGGTTAGAAGGGCATGTTGCTGGAAATATCGGCATCTTCCCTCGAAGTTTTGCTCATCAGGATACAGACAGCATCAGTCTGGCATCAACAGATTGACAAAGCCTCTAAACATGTACAGTGGCTGTATTAGCCTTCAGTGAATAAGAACCTTCTCATGTGCATCGACACTCTTGAGGGGTCCATCTGTTAAAAATTACAGCATTTATCCGAAGTTTTTTTCTGTATGCCAAAATGTGACTTCACCTATCTCAGTGAACATACACAATAACAATCCCAATACATTTTGAGCATAACTTTTGAAAGATGAAATCAAAATAATTCCCCTCTCCATATTTTTTTCCTGGTCCAAAGGTGTTTAAAAAAGATTTTCCATAATAACATTTTCCTTGATATATTTTCCATTAATGAGATTACAGCTCTCTTTAAGTGCTTTTAACTGGAAAATAATATTATTTGGGAATTTAAGATGTCTAAAATGTATTATGTATAATGGTACTGGAACATCCAAATTCTGTGTAAATTAGATGCCAACTGGAAACTCCTGGCTCTCTTTACAGAGTGAGTTCATTTAATATTATTAGAAAAGGGAGAATTTCAGGTACTTTTTGAGATCACAAAACAGGGTGGCTAAAGGCCAACTCCAGAGTTTTAAATAGTGCTCCATGGGACGCCAGCTTTAGTTTACATCATTGCCACCCACCTCTTCTTAACCTGCAGCTGACATGGTATCTATCTATCAAATACAAACTGAACAGCGGTGCAGCAGAACGAGATGATTTAACTTGCATCACACCCATACAATACACAGCGCTGGCAGATTTTATTTCCAACTTGGTCAGATGTCATAAATGGCTTTTAAATCACCCCTGTCCTGTAGTGAGAGCTGAATACACCTCAGCGAGGTATCCGTAATGCAGTGTTTAATGGCGTGGTGTGCTCTGTCAGACTGGGCACTGGGGCATGGCACTGCAGCATACAATCCCTCTGCTTTTTTATATTGCAGTAATTATGGGGTTGGCAGAGCCCAGCGTGATGCACATTTCCCACAATTCCCATTAAACATTATGCAATTAATCAAAGCCGTACCACATTCTGACCCAACGTTTACCGATCAGTTCTTCCCCTCCTACCTTCTGTCCCTGGTTTTATTAGTTAAAGAGTGACATTTTGTGTTGTGTTTATGAGCTGTTGTAAATGGTGTTGTATAAGTGTCAGGGTTAGCAGTTTAACATGTTTCAGCGTCAAAACAACCTTCTGTCTTTTTTTTTTTAATATATATATATAAGAGATGTAAGTGAACTGTATTTGTGTAGCACAGCCAACGGCTGCAATTTAATGGCCTTGACTGCACAACCCGTCATAAAAGTTAGTTGTTTATTCAGTACATCACTTGCTCTGTACTCAAAAGATAATGTGGGACTCTTTTTCCAGAAAGAGGAGAGCAGAAAACAGCCAACTGTGATGGTGCAGGTTCCCCCTGGAGTCTCAATTTTAAGTCAAGAGAACAGGAATTACTCAAATTAGGTTAAACCAACCCAACCACACAGCTTTATTAAATCACTCTCACAAACACACAACATACGTGTTGGGAGAAAGAAAGGACGAGGGAAGATATTTGGTATTTCAGCACTTGATTGAATTTCTGACAGACATTTTGGAGCACTTTTGAAGGTGTATGTGTGTCTTTGGTATAAGTGAGTCATAGTTATGCGTGACTTACAGCTGAAGTGTATTCACTTCTACAGTGCATAAAGATCAATGAGCATCTCCATTGTCTCATTTAGGCCCATTAATTGTTCATTAATTTTTGCCACCATGCACTGATGCCAGGAGCAGTAATTGCAAATTAGCAATGAATCTGAGACTTTTGCTGCAATGTCACCATCTTAAAGGGCTGTAAATCAGTGGGTTGGACACCCGGAAGGACGAAAAGTTCAGCTGAGAGGGTCTGTAAATCTTTAGTCTCATTATCATTAGGAATTATTATGAATTACCGTTGTGTACGAAATGTGCTGTATAAATAAACTTGCCTTGCCTTATCATTTTTAATTTACTGTTTCAGTCATTTAACTACTGAGTGCTACATTGTAATTTATTTTAATGTTTAGTACTTGTTCACGTTTATTTTATTATGCTGCACTCTGTTTTGTTTAATTTGTATTATTGATATTTTTAATTATTTTATTTAGCTCCAATGTATACAGCTGCTGTGAGTACTTTGGCAAAACAAATGTACTTCTGTCAGGACCACTATCGTCAAAATGATAGATACTTAGCATAAAGTTTGGTTTGGCGGTATGGTTCCATTCTGGGCAAAAAACTCCCTGCCCATCCATGCAGCCTGTCATGAATGAGCAGGGAGAGCAGCAATAATAACCCCCCTAGGGTTAACAGAACAGAACAAGGCAGATATCATTAATGTACTTAATGATATTTAAGTGTAACACTTTATTCAAGATAAAGGAGTCTGATTAGCAAGGAATATCAGAAAGCCAAGTCCTGACTGTGGCGAAAGGAGGAGCTGGGGATGGAGGAGGGTAATTTGCTCCTGAGCAAGCTGAAAAGCAGCTGAATAATACTGAATAGAGCTTATATAGGAATGCCGCGATAGGTGTCGTATTCCTATAGGTAGATGTGATCAGCTGAGAATCAGCTGATGCAAGCTTGACTCACGTGACCTGCCAGAACTAACGCTAACGCTTAATTTTTGTTGCCGTCGTGCCAGTAAAACACACTACATTAAAACGGGATTGGGTCAATGCAGATACGCTTGAAACTGATAAATATATAAGTAAAGTTAATTACAGTGTTAAAGGCAGCATTGGTCTGTCCATATGAGTTTATTAATAGTCCTCAGTGAGGCTATTAGTGTACTAATCGGTTGTTGATGTCTGCTGACAGGCCTTTCTAATTCCTCTTTATGAGCTTAAAGGACGACACGTGTGATTTAACTGAGATTCCTCAGCAGCTGAAATCCATAGTCTGGCCTAAAACCTTGCTGGATGTCTTTTAAGCACATCAGACAGCCTAATAAGGATAATTATTATTGTTTGTACAAAACCATTCATGGACTCACATGAATGTGCATTATGGATTATGCAGCTTTTCTCAGCATATGCAGTATTAGTCAGCCTCTGTGAGAGCTGGATTCTCACAACACCAACCTGATTTGAGCAGAGCTGGGTTTTTAGATCTGACATTACTCTCTTTTCCCAGGCAGACACAAGGGATTAAAAAGCTTCAGGTATAAATGGAGCACTCTCAAATGAAGCACACACACACACGTCCAAACACTGCCCTTGTTTTGTAAATCTGTTCAAAACAACTTTCACTGCCCTGTCTTAACTTAGGATAAGAAATCAGCCGAAAGACTGAAATGTAAGGGCCTTTAACATTTCATCTGCACTGAGATGTTTCTTTTTAAAGTGTTCTAAAGGAAAATGTCAATCATAATCAAGTATGTTTTTCATTAATGATTACTGAAAAATGTATTGAGGTCACTACTATTCTGGATGTTTCTCTGCATTTAAAGGCACTCTGGAATACTTAAATCTGATTGGTCAGTTGCGGCATTGGTAGGTCAAATACTTTTGATCTCAAAATGGGATGTTCCACTGTTACCCTTAGCAACATACTGGTGCAACTTTTATGTTTGATTGCAGATTGATGATAATAATGCATAAATTAATCTTCCCAGCGCTCGTCTTCCCAACTAAAATAAATATGTTCTAAAAATCGTCGTGCCCAACAACGCCCCTTAGCTGTTAATTCACTGTAAACCACGGCTTCTTGGGGCTTATTGCTTTAATAAACAATGTATAAATAATGTTTTTGATCTAAAGTTTTAAGAAAGAATGTTGTCCTGTTTGGTACCGCAGTTTGATTTTGACTTATGCATATTTGTATTAAAAATGGGGGAGGCACCATTGTGTAGCTATAGGTCTTTGAAAACCACGAATTTATACTGTGCATTTAAATACTTTATAGTTTACTTTACTTTACATCTCATACAGTTTCGGAAGTGAACAATAACAGACAAATATAGGACCTGAATTAATGATTTGGTGAGATATATTTTAAAATATGAATGATTTTAAAATACTTTTGTTTCTTTTAAAACTAGTATCATGACTCTGGTTCATCCTTGCTCTCTTTTTATAGGCTAGCTCTGCAATAGGCCCAGCGAAAGTACAGTAACACCCAAATATTTCACTTTTAATAATTAACCAGTGATATAGCAATTGTCAATGGCACCTAGAAAAACAGACAGGGCCTACTTTAGAATCATAATTAATGTTATTACATATAAAAGTAATAAATGATCCGCACTATCAGCCAGCGTATAAATTAACGCAGTACAGAAGACGTGGCTGTTTGACCAATCAAATGAAAGGGGCGTTTCAGCGCCGCCTACAGGCGCGAATGAAAAATTAAAGCCATAAACCGATTTGTAAACCACAAACAAAATAAGAGATGTCGAGCCAAAATCTCGTTTACCGTTTGTTAAACAAAACGAAAAAACGAGCCATCTTTCCATTTCTCGAGTGTATTTCTTCATGGAAAGCCAAGTTTCAATACTTGGTTGGTTCATGCAGAAAAACGAAACATTTACCGGCTTTACAATTTTTCTTTTACCAGATTGAATGGAATAATTGAATGTTAGGATGATACACGGACCGATCTGCCTATATGGCACATATCTGTAAACAGTGTTGGGGAAAGTTACTTTTAAAAGTAATGCATTACAATATTGCGTTACTCCCTAAAAAAGTAACTAATTACGTTACTTAGTTACTTTTTATGGAAAGTAATGCGTTACGTTACTTTTGCGTTCCTTTTTAAATCTGGGCAGGGCTTGCTTGTTTGTTGTTAATATAAAAAGCTCTTCTTTTACCCTTTTCACAACAGAAGTGAAATTAATACGCCTCAGGCTGAAGGAAATGCAAATTCACGTCTGTACAGTAGATGGCGCCGCTCAAACAAATTGCATGAAGAATATGACGCAGGAGAAGAAAGTTCAACATTATTCAGCAATAACAAAAATGAAACAAGTGTGTCATTTTTGCTTATTAGTATGGTTGAATTAGATCATCGAAGGTCTTATTTAATATTAATATTTATTTAATATTATTTAACATATTTAATTATTACAGGTTTATATAATATTCTGAGTTTGCATTTGACTGTTTTTATTCATTTTGAGGAATACTGGATCTGTTTTTGTGCAGTGAGAAGAGTAAATAATGTTCATATTTAATCTAGAACTACAGTAACATCACAGCGCACACAACGCCTCTGCACTTACTCCCCATTTT